GGACTAGGTGCGTTCTACATGGTCTCCCTGAAAACAAGACCAAGTTGCGACAACGAGGTCAACCCATTTCAACCACTGCATGCTTTTTACTGAAGGCTTTATTTCTCATTGACTGCCACAAGCGTTTGGAAGTACATATATTTAGTCCAACTGAATAGGGCTCTTAAGGCTCTGGTGCCCATATTGCAGATATCACCCCAGCGCTATAGATTGACTTAACACTGCGCTTTTTATCCCATTTCTGCATATGCTCTTGATTAATTTTATGGTTAGGCTTTATTTTAGTGCGCAACATCTATAGTTTAACCCTTGTACTTTAAGCAAACTGAGAATCTATATTGCTGGATGCGGTAATCAAATCAACCTCGATCTAATATTCATGATGGTCAATTTCTTTGATGATTTTGGTTGTCAATCCACCTATTCTCTTGTGATCCAGACCCACAAACTTTATGGTTGTTACCTCTAAGTGCCAACTCTCACCGGAAATGTCTTCCTTTGATTTCCATATATTCCTACCTGATTTCTACTTGCCATATCCTTTACCATAGTAACGGAGCTGAGCTTGCTGTTTTCTTGTTTGCCCCCAGCTTTCTTAAGCACCATGCAATGCTATCGCTAGTTCTGCCATATTCAACTCCCCTGCCCCTCAAAGTTCCTTCAGCAGTTATATCGAAAGTCTTGTATTTTTTCTTTATGAAGCCCTTCTTTCTGTTTCCTTCCAATTGATCTCTTATCAAATCTGTACAAAGTGTGGATATGCTCACCCTTCTGCGATCTGACTAAAAACTACGGCCAACATTAAGAAAATAGAATACTTATGTGACCACGAAATGAAAAACATCCCATCATAAGTTAACCTATGCAATGTAAGGAGGTAAGCAAATCGCATTGCTCTGGAGTCTATTACATACCATGAAGAAACCACGAGCAGATTTATATCGGTGAAACGGGAAGCAAAATCGGATTTACATAAAATAGATACAGAGATATCAGAAATAGTTGAGCACATTGTACAGATTGGCCTGATTGTCCTTCCAGCCTCCCCGATGCACTTTTGCTTCAACTCCCTGTAGATCATGCTGTAAACTCCGGAGCACTCCATTTGGTTGAACTTTTCATGTTGTGCAAACAAGTTAGTCAAGAGGACTGTTTTGTCTTTCAGGATTGTACGAATGTTTCATACCGTTTTAACATTCCTTATGCTTAAATTTAAATATTTCATCCAATAAGTTAGAAGGCCTATACAAATTTAAGGCCACAAATTGTTAAATCACTAGTAACTAGGCGATCGCCCGCGGATTTGTTTGCAAGCCTAATGGAATGCATCCAAGGGAAGCATATATTAGTGAAGGAGTCATATTCATCACGATTCTTCTTTTTATAAATATAAACGATTCCCAAATTCCACTGTAAGCACAGCATTAATAAGTAATTAATTGCATGTTTTGCTGTAATTAACCTGATAGCTGAGTAACTAATTCTTGCTTTTTAACAGCTCGTGTTCGCCCTTTGAAAACGAGGAGACGACTTTGATTTCAAAATCTTCCAAACATGACGTCAATATCTTCAGTTCGGAGTTTCAAAATCAAATGTTTGTAAGTCATCCAAACTATGACGGCATCGAACCTTAAAAAACCGAATTTTCAGACCAAGTGATATCTATTCACGTAGATATGTGATTCATTAGAATTTTCAACTGTTCCAGGAATGACCAAATTTTTATTTCACTCCTGTACTTTTTCTCTAAACGACAAACTCTTATGGGCGAACTCAAGTTTTCTTATTCCATTAAGGCTGATAATTGTTAGCTATAGATTAATGCAAGGAAAAATTTTGTTTTTTAATTTCGACATTATGGATCAGTTATGATCTACCCACTTTTCATATCAGTTTCCCATTTAAAATAAAATCAAGTCAATCCTGCTTCTCAAATAAGCTTTTTACAAAACTCATGCTTCATCAGTTTTGGAAAAGAGGCTTCTTCGCCGGTCTTCATAATTTTGGGAAGGCAAAGGCACTGAAAGAAAAAGCTAGAGAATAGAGGGCATGTGTGATTCTGGAAATAGTACTGATAAACAGGCGCACCTTCCAGTTATGATATAATTTTCTATACCGTTTTTAGTTTTTTCTATATTTTTATGATTATCATTTTAACAATGTAGCCCTGCTACTCTAGATGCTGACCAGATAGTTTATCATAAAGGCCATTTGTCAAATACAAAAACGTGCCTATGCTCTTAAGCGTCGGTAACGAAACTCGATATTGCCTCGGAGACGTGTGTGTCTTGAGACTTTTGTCTATGTTTCCCGATATATTGCCATGCGATTGAATGGATGGCTCAATAGTTAAGCTACCGTAGCTAACTAACCGAATAATGCGTCGTATTGTTGGAGGGACTTTCATTTTGTATTAAAATGCATGAAGAAGAGATTCGTAAGTCAATCTCACCAGAAGAGGATGGAAGAATCCCGTTGTACTGCAGCTTTTTGGCTTTTATACGACGTTCAGATTGACGCAGTCCATGCAGTTAACGTGAGGCTTTTACAGGAATGAGACCCAGCTCTGATGATGTCCATCATATGATGGACGAAAGCTCAGCCCGTTTTCATCCGAAACGAGGGAGGAAGTCTCGTGTACTGCGTCAACCTGAACATCGTATGAAAGCGAAGCAGCTGCAGTACAACGGGATTCCTCCGTCCTCTTCTGGTGAGATCAACCTACGATTCTCTTCTTCGTGCAATTTCATACGAAATGGAATCGCTCCTAACAATGTTATCTCAGGAGATTAATCGAAACCCAGTTTCTCTTCGTATCTACAATGTGTAGTAGCTCTTCTGACTTTCTCAATAGTACCGCCTTCGCTTACTCATCATTATCCGTAGTTCTTGTCTTACGGAAATCGGCTTTATTTTAGATGCCTCCTAACAGCTGATTGCGTAGTTTCACGCAGGTATGGAATGTTGAGTTACAGAAAAAGATCTTATAAAACGAATAAACTTCAGCAATTTCTGAAAATGGTAATTACTTGTTCTCCTGTATGTGCCGGTGGTTGATTGCAATAGTCATTACCTTCATAGGAAGTTCT